GTGACCCTTCAGCCAATCTGCAATCCATCTGACTGTGTAGGCATCAATGCCATAGTCGCCCAATTTTTTAATGAGGATGGGGTGGGAGACAGTGTCAAAGGCCTTGCTGAGGTCCAGAAAGACTACATCTATGGCAACACCTGCATCCAAGGCTTTTGTGACCTGATCATAAAAGGCAATCAGGTTGGTCTGACATGACCTGCCCCTAATGAAACTGTGCTGGTTGCCCTTCAGCATCATCTCTGAGGCCAGCCCATCGCAGATGTGCTCCACGATGGTCTTCTCAAAGAGTTTCCCTAGGACTGAGGTAAGACTGATGGGCCTATAGTAGCCCGGGTCCTCCCTCCTCCCTTTTTTAAAGATGGGGACCACGTTGGCTATCTTCCATGTTGGCTATCTGCCTTAACAAGTTATCATCTCTTTAACTTGTAGAGGGGAGGAGTTCTGTTAGATCTCCTCCCTATGATCATACGGTATAGTCGCCAATAAACTCAGACTGAGTCTGTGAATTCTAATACCAAACACAACACAAAGTTTGATTTCTTCCACAGGTTCCCTGTTACAAGGGGTCATCACTATCAGCAGCCCCTTGATATGAAGATGACAGTCTTCCAGTAAGTAGGGAAGCCATCAGTAAATCTGGACAGGACTGAGAGGCCAATGCAAGATCTGCATGTTCATCTGAAGACATGGAATATAGTTCCAGGAGGGAGGAGTGGATCCTGGTGATATCAGGTCATGGTTCTTTCCCTTTGTGTCTCTGGCCTATCCACCTCCATAGTAAGGCAGTCTTGCTTAAAATGATCAGTGCAATTAAGGATGAGTCAGTTCTTGAGTCTCCCAAGTATTGATGTTAATACTGCATTTCTTCAGATTGGCCTTCAAGGTTTCCTTTAGTCTCATATTTTGCCCACCTCTAGACCATTGGCGAGTTGGGAATATAGGATTTGTTTCAGAAGCCAGCTGTCAGACATCCTTATGACATGTTCTGTTCAGTGGAGCTGGTGCTATATAAATAGCTTTGATGCTGGTGGTGTTTGCTTGACTCAGAACACTGGAATTTGTTCTTCTGTCCTTCCTAATGACATGGAGAATTTTTCAAAGACATCACTGATGATAACATTCCAAGGCTTTCAGGTTTTTCTGATATATTGTCTGGGTTTCACACCCATACAACAGAGTAAGGATGAAAACAGCTTGGTAGATGAACAGTTTGGTTTGGGTCCTGATGTCATGATCATCAAAGACGTGATTTTGGAGATATCCAAAGGCAGTGCTGCTGATTATATCTGGTACTGACTATCATCATGTTTACTTTGTGGGAAAGATGATGGCTTATGTAAGGAATATGTTCAACATTCTCCAAGGACTGCCTTCTAATTGTAATATGTAAGGGAGCAGCTACTTGTTTGTGGGTGGGTTGGTAAAGTACCCAATTCAGTGATACTTAGTCAAGGAGTGCATCCTGCTTATAGTCCACTACTAGGATAGGTTAGATTGCAGGCTTTATTATAAATATTCAACCCTCCCTGGGAAAAGTATTGCTACCTATTTCCTCATTCATTGGATCACTTCAGAAGAGGTATGGCAGTGTTTGTTCTTCTACTATGACTCACTGTAAATTCCCTTCTGTTCACATGTTTTGCTCTTCAGGTTGTTAGTTCTTGTTCCACACAGATGAGACAGTCCCCTGGGTAATTTAAGCTAATGAAAGATTTTGGAGAGGAAAACTGCAACTTTAAATCCCTCAGAGACTTCTGTACTTACTATAGATCATTTGACCAGCTTGGGTAGCTAACTATAAGTAAAATATATATATGATTTAGAACAGTATTAACAAAAAGAACAAAAATACAACCAAAGTATGATCTCATTCTTTCAGATACTACTTTAACTTAATAGGAGATTTACAGTAATACATTCCAAAATAAGAAGTTCTTTCATACAAAATTCTTGTTGGGATGTGTTTATTTTTAAACAAAGATAATGATACATCTCCCACAGCATACAGAGCTTCTGCTTACACATCTATTAATACAGCACATACAGGTTGACTATTAGTTGCTTTAATACACAGAACTAAATATATTCACAAAGGAAAAATGAAGCCCTAAGAAGAAACTACTGAATATTTCCCATGGTGAATGAATTTTTTTAAGTATGACTATACTTAGATTGTGGCAATATAGTTTCAGAACACAACATATTCCCTTGTGATGTTGCCTCTTTATGTGCATATTAAATTTGACCATAAAAAACTTATTGTAGGACTTCACTGAGAATTGTTGAAAAATATAAAGTTATGAATGAAAAAATCTGAAGCTGCCTATCATTGTAACTAATATGAAGCTCTTAAAAGTATTTTTTCTTCTATGCTGCTTTCTTCAAGCTCTGATATATAGACTAATCAAGAGTGAATCTTCTTTTGGGCTTGAAAATATAAATTATTAAGAGTTCCACCCAACTACGACATGAGCAACAAGGAGATAACACATCCCAATGGTACAGGATACAATCATCATGGGGAAACCCAACCTGAAACAACAACAAAAATAAAAGAAAGATCAATGAGGTGCAATACTTTGTTCTCAGAGACATAACTTGGCACTTAAACTTTTTGAATTTAAGTTTAAAAATCATTACACAAGTTCTTAGATTCAAATAGCTTTTCACCATTGTTCAAACTGAAAGAACATCAGGGCACTGCAATTTTATCACTGTGTTTTGAGGATGAGTGTTCAAGTTTAGACTACCCACTTCCAGTCAAGTGATTTAGAAGATACAGTACCTCAGCTGGTGTAAAGCAATATGGCTCCATTAAATTCAATTGACCTTCTCCAGTTTAGGTTAGCTGAAAATTAATATCTGTGTGTCTGCAACATTGGAGTGGGGTGAGAGGGGTGCAACTGGTCACCCTTTGGCTGTGCCAGACATGTGAAGTATGTGCTGAGCTGACCTCCTGGTCTGCACAAGCTCCTGACAGAGCTATGTATGCAGAGCTAGGTTCACCAAGAGAGCACTGGCAGAAGCCACAGCTTTCATATAGCTTTATAGCACAAAGGGTGCTCATGATCCCCATTTTTCCCCCTACCACTGAATTCAGTAGGGGAGGAGGTAGAGGGAAGCTGAACAGCAGCAGCACTCACCCCTTGGACTTGCCCTTGTATGTTCTGGTTATGTTCTAAGCCATATGTGGTTACAAAGAGAATAAACCATGTTTCACAAGTAAAGCAGAATTAGGATAGGTCCTTTTGTACCCATGTCCTCCTAACTGAAATTCATGCTGCACTTCAGAATGTTGTTCTAAATCTGATTTATGGTTGGCATCCCTTAACGTTTTACACTTCCATTCAGATGGTAAACCTCACCCTACTACTATTTATCCTCAGCACCTCCCATCATGTGAAAATAAATAAAATATTAGCTGAAAAGTACTTTAGCCCTATTGGATACACCAGTTTTTGTGAGTACATGAAGAAAAACCCCTGGCCAGTAGAAGCATTACAAGATTTTTTTTCAGATCAAAATACTCTTTCAGCATAGGTAAACCCCAGAATGAGACTTTCAAAATAAACCTCATCTTTTAAAACTTCCATAGATAGAAAATCCCACATGGTAGAACCTGAAGCTTGGACAGAATACTGTTGATTCTGTAGTGCCATACTTCATTGAGTTTCCATGTCCTCCGCATTTGCAAAAAAGGTACAATACTTTTTCAAATTGAGGAGAGATTTCCATATTGTATTATTTTGTCCTCCACATTTGGAAAAAAGAAAAGGTACAGTATTTTTAAAAGTGAGGAGAGAATCTATATTGTACTAGATGATTGGACAGCATTGGCACTGTGTTTAATACTGAAAACAGAAGGGAAATTGATATGAGAAATAAAGTGCTACAAATGACTCTTTTACTCATATGTTCCTTTTTCATGTTTATCCAACCTTTTTACTATGCATCATCAAAGTACAATACTGTCCTTTGAAGTGCCAATATTTATTCATGCCCTTCAATGGCAACTGGAAAAGCATATACCTAACACCTGTGTGTGCATCAGTCATGGCTTTTACATCACTTAAGCAACATTCATAAGGTTCAAGATGCTTGTAGCATTCATTCAGCCTTGTTAACAGAGTGAACAAAGGAATGTATGAGTATGCAACCTGATGAAAGGTAGGGATAAATAATAGGGCTGTGCAAAGTTTCAACTTAATATTCAATTCGACAAATATTCGACATATTTGACCTTGAAAAGTGAAAGTCGAGCCGAATAGCAGCTGGTTGCATAGCTGTCGACTCAAATAACCGGAAGTCGAATATTAACAGTGCGGGTCAAATATTCCACTTGCCTATACTGGATTCCCTGTGAGTGGAAAAAAAAAGGAAAGTAAGGGGAGGGAGGAGGAGGGGGGAAGGAGTGCTTTCATGACTGACATGTGTGGCTGGCCAG